GGCGGCAGTCTACACGCCGATGGGTGTGACTAAGCGGGCACCCATCCAAGTACTAACCCAACTGAGCGTTGCTTAGCTTGGGTGATCGCCGGAGTCACACACCGCCCGCGTAGCTACTGTCGCCGCTGTTCATCATTAATTATTTTCCACTTTTGCAATCTATTGAACTTGATTCGATGGTAAACGAAATAACAAACGTTATTTTAGTTGGAAAACTGCCGGGATGAAGTACAACGTATAACCTACCTTTGGACACACATTTTGAACGAAAATAGTCTAGAGAGACCGTCTGAAATCCACAAGAAATTGTCACTGTCGCCATTACTTATATTTTCATTGACTTTTTGCCCTGACATACAATTAGTCTTACATTATTTGAAATTATTTTAGCCGGGTAGTAATACAATTCAAATGAGTCAAAGACCCTGGATACCTCACTCTCGCCAAGCCTAATCGCCACGCGGCGCTTTCGGCGTCCACTGACGGTATGCATGAGGCGTATAGCAACCAGACAAAATATGTCCGGTCGCCCGGCATAAGCCATGCTCAACGGCAACTTGGGAGATTCTCGGAAAATAGAGATTTGTTTACAAATTCTTGGAATGCGATAGAGTCGTGTTTTGTTTTTTTGTCACCGAAAAAACGTTGGCTGTGAACGAAACTGTGCTACTGTTAGTTTATTAGTGTTAGCGAATGAAATTCGGAATTTAGGAATTCCGATTGTAGGAATGACTCTCGATCTTATGCACTTATGAAAAAAAATTATTTTGCCAAATATATTTACTTTCCACCAGTGAATCTCCATAAATATTTCCATAAGGTATGCTAGTGCCGAATATATTTTCTTGTGGTCAGTAAATATACTTAAAAAAATATGACGCTGTGTAAAGTATATCTCTGCCGTGGGTTTTCTAAAAAATCAAGAATTTTTTGTTTAGAGAATTGATTCTGCCAGAAGTTATATGTAATTAAATAAGTATGAATTTTGATTAATATTCTTTTTAACAATTATTTCTTTATGTTCATTTCGTACCACTTTTTAAAATCTTCCATTTTATGTTCATTAGCACAGCATATCACCAATCCAAATTCGGTATGTAAACTCACTGACTTCCACTTCGATAAACTCTTTGGCACGTTCGAGGAAGTCATAATTTTCAAAGACAACTGGAAAATACTCTGGACAGAGGTACTCCTTATTATATGCGTCCTTTCAGGCCCTGCGCCTGAAAAAATTTTCAATTCTGGAATTTTTTTCTTTTTAATTGTTCATAGATTGAAAAGGAAAGAACCGTGTCACAGGCAAATAAAGAAAATGTTTCGGGGGAGAAAATTAATGAGTTTGCTCTCAGGTGTCAACTGTTGGAAAAAGTAAATCGTGAGCAACTTGAACGAATTCTTCTGGCCAGTTGGAGAGGACCACTAATCATCGAAAATTATCGAAAGACTAAGGTCCTTGCAGATAAGCACAGGCTTGCTCTGGTCGAAGAGATTGTGTGGGCGTGTTTAAAAATTTCGGTGGGAGGATGGACGCATGCACATTTTTCTAAAATTGCAGAAAACATTTGCTCCATTTTCGAAGAAGAGCAAGTTGAGACCTATTATACGAGCCACCAATACTACAGAAAAACAGTAAAACTGGAAAACTCTATACCTGCATCTGGTAAAGTTCCCGATAAATTCAAAAACGAGTTGAATGTGTTTCGTATTTTGAAGGGAATTAATACGAAATGGAAGCGAGAAAGAGACAACGTTGATGCATCGAAAAAACAGAGATTGGAAGGTATATGGAATCTTTTTTATGTGACTAGAATTCATGGATATTGAAGTGTCTTTTATTGCAGAGAAAATTAAATTGATCAGCTCAAAACATGCATAATAATAATAATTAGGATAGATCGACGGCAATGGCATGTTCTTTCAATAGTTGTTGCCTAATTATTGGTTTTTCCAGAGGAGTTGACAAAGGTGAAAGAGTCTATTGAGTGGTTGCAGATAAATTACGCGCCTTTGGACGTCGTAGCCGAACGGTGGAAAGAGAGCAGTCCATATCGTAGACTTTGGCTCCTCGAACAAAGAAATCCACTAGTAGACGCTATTTTCACGGACTGGCCCATCCTCAAACAACCAATTGCCAGTACACTTATAAATATCGATTTTATCGATTTGAAATTGACAGAATTGACCTTAACTGAGAAATCTTGGGATGATTTCTACTCAGCTGTACTGGAGAATCGTCATTTGAGACAGAAAGATGAGATTGGAATTGACCTATTGAACAGCATTGCAAAGGATTCTGTTACTGCAGGTATGCTAAGCTGAGTGACGACTCTTCTATCAGGATGCTTAATAATTTTGATTCAAAATTAATTATTCTCTCACCTTTCTTATAGATGGACGAGTTCTTGCCCAGTTATCTCTTCTTCCCCGTTTAATCACACTGAAAGGAACGGTCAAAAGAGGCGCTGAGAAAGAGTCCGATGTTTCGCGTGGGCGTTCTATTGCAGAAGTTAAAGAGAGAATCGTTGTGATAGTGCGAGTATGAATATTTTTTTGACTACGAATTTTTATTTTAATTAGTAAAAAAAGTGACTACTTGTTAACATTTATGGAAAATAATTTTAAATATTTTTATTTTGGGTTTGCTGTCACTTAAAATAGCCCTTAATTTAATAAATACGTTAGGCTAGAACCATCACCACGACCACTCCGATCATTCTGTTGTTCATGATAGCCATCGTCGCGTAATAATAATTAAATGTTTCTAATCATTCAATTCTATTCCTTTTTTTCTAGACTCCAGCTGAGATAACGGAAGTTCAAGTGAAAAGAATAGCAAACGTAGGACGAATCATCGTGCAACCCTATCTCATTGTCGTTGCCGAAAATCCTGTGGCACCTACAGAATGTTATGTTTTCGTCAAAGATAATCTGTATCCTGTAGCTTCAATGGTCGAAGCCATAGATATTGCGTTCAAATTCTATCATGTGCTCGACGGCCACTACCCTTCCGTATCCTATCACATATGGATGTTAATGCAGAGATGATTATATGGTTTCAAGGTCAAAGGTGAACGTCCTGTTCCAACTCTTACTACTCTTCTGTCAAAAATCAGAAATAAACTTCAGCCAGCAGTTAACGAACTTATAGCATCTCCTAAGCAGATTTAAGCTCCGAGGTCAGATGATTCTGTACACTACGATCTCATCCATATTTCATAATAAATAATAAGAATTTTTCAAAACTTTATAATTTTTATTATATCACTAATTTTTCCAATTATTCGATTCACAGATTTGTCATTATCTCGCAATTTATAAATCTAAAAGTGCTGATGAAAAAATCGATCGATTCTATGATTTGTTTAAATTGCAATTAGTAATTTTTTTCGTTCATGAAAAAAAGAGTTTCACTGTATCGATTTTGCTAAGATCAAAGGCTTTTTTTGGGGGGAATAACAAACCTATCATAATGTTTTATCAATGTCCTTATTGCACTGTCGAAATCGTAAGTGATAAATTCAGATTTCATATCGAAACAGAACACAAGCATGACAGTCGGAATTCGTTTAGATGTTGTCACTGTAAAGTGCGAATTTATAATAATATTCCTAGTTAAGCACCTAAAATCGAAACATTCAGACATCTGTACTCGTGATTCAGATCATTTCCCAGAAAAGCTCCATCATTCGTCCCATGAGTGTTCCACTCCATCTTTAGCTGAAGCCGACAGATTTACTAAAATCCTGGAAAAAAATATTTTTCATAAAAAGACACCAGAATTTTTTATTCGTAGTCCACAATTTAAATCCAATTCGCAATTGCCTCCCTCTGACTACACACAATTTAGTGAACAAATCAGCCACGCTGTTAGCCAGTTCACGTCAAATTTATATGCCAATTCGACGATGCCACGATCCACAGCCAATAGTATTCTCAATAAGAGTGCAGAATTGACTAATTTCATACTGGAAAAAATTTCACAAGAGTTGGAATGTTCAGATTGTCAGGCAAAATTACGACCAATGGTAACTATCACGCAGAATAATTTTAACAGGATGAAAACTACTCATACGTTTGAAAAATTGGATTGTTTGATCCAACCAGTCACCAAAACTATTTCATATACCACCGGTAAAACGCAGAAAAATAAAAAAGTTAAATTAGATGTGAAAGAACGAAAAATTGAAATAATTCCTATGGAAACCGTGTTGGTCCAATTTTTACAGCTACCTGGCGTATTTCAATCAATTATTAATAATATAAAAGAATGTCAAAACAGCGAGCAGTTGATTTCACCTGTCCAAGGCCTCACGTGGAAAAAAGTCGAAGAAAAATTCTTGGGAAAGATCATTCTACCGCTAGTAATTTCATTCGATGTTATTGAGGTAAATAATCCATTAGGAACTCATCGAAACATTCATAAACTTGGTGCAATGTATTTCACAATTATAGGAATTCCAGATGAATATAATGGTGTGCTAGAGAACATATTTTTACTCCAGTTACATAATACGGAGGATTTCAAAACAGTTCCACAAGAAGTCCTTTTTGCTAATATTATTGAACAATTGAAGAATTTAGAGACTCGTGGAATATCTATTGATGATGGGGGAACGAAAATTCAAATTTTTTTTGCATTATTATCCATAATTGGAGACAATCTGGGTCAACATCAAATATTAGGATACAAATGCTCCTTCACAACGGAGTATTGTTGTAGATTTTGCATTACTCCTAAAAGAGTTCGCGAGACTCAATTCACAGAATATGAAACTTTACTGAGAGTAAATAATGATTACAAAAATGATGTTGAAACAAAATCTCATGATGCACTTTGTAAATGTGCATTTAATGAATTAGAATTTTATGATTCAGTTCAAAATACATCGGTAGATTCAATGCATGATTTATTGGAGGGTATTTGGCGTGACGTTTTTGGACTGATTTTGTACCAATTTGTTCAGGTGGAAAAATTATTTTCCTTACGACACCTCAATGAGCACATTAAGTTTTTCCTCTACAAAAAAGACACGGACGTGCCTCCGCCAATAAAGGAATCAGTAATAAAAGATAAACATCTTACCTCTACAGCCTCAGAAATGAAAACTTTGTGCATTAAGTTTGGCTTTTATATCGGCGATAAAATTCCAGTCAATAATCCCTACTGGAAGCTGTATTTAGTCTTAAGAGAAATTACTCGTATTATATTGAGCAGATCTGTCCATGTTCGTGATGTATGTCGATTGGCTCAATTAATTATGATCTTGAAGTTATGTATATGTACGTTTTGAATCGATTATCCCTTGATTATCCCCGTATTAAGTGTAAAAACTCATAGAAAACCCTACGAAACTATTGATAGTTGCGATTGTAATGTGAGCGGCGAATGGAAAAATAATGCTGCCGCTCATTAAAATTTATTAAGGTGGACCATTTTTTGTGTTTGCGCATTTTACTAATTATGCTTGAATACCGAACTAGAATCCATCAGCCTTCAATCAATATCAAATAAGAATTTAAAGGAATTGTCGAACAGAGGAAAAAAAATGTCCAGAATGTAAATTCTAAGAATGGTCCTAAAACTGATGATGATGTTATTTCCAAGAGTTCCTCATCCTTATCTATGGATTCAGAGTCTGACATTAATAATGGATCCAATTCCGATGGACGAGAAATTTCAAAACATTCAAGGCACATCAGAGCTTCTGGATCAACGAAGAAGACATACGATTTATTGTGGAAGGTGATAAAGCTGTCTTCGGCAGGAATGTTAGAGAGAGGTCAAATTGCTCCAGATCTGCTATACAATGTACTTCGTACAAATTTACCATCACAAGCAGTCATCACATGTTCCATTACATTCATGGGTTTCCGTTTCTGGCATAAATCAGCAGACAAATTCACCGTGTCCGCATTTTGCAAACAGCCAGAGTGTAAAACCGCATTTAAATTCTGTGGTACTTTAACAGCAGCTCTTGATTATGAACAAATCCAAATTTTTGTCCCCCAAACTTCAATGGATAAATCTAAGGACCATAGTTTACCAATCGCCTATCAGTTACGTGGTCGCGAAAGGGTCCAATTGAAAAAAGAATTGCGTCACGAAGTTCCTAGTAGAGTTCGTGGGAGAGCCTACGCCCAAATGGATATAAAGTTAGCATTGGAACATAATAATTATATGAAGACACGATCTGAAAATGTCTATGCAAAGGCACGTTCTGAGGAATTTGGGACAAACGACAGGGATGAGAACGACACCCTTGACATCATCAAGCGAACGCTGGCGATTGACTGTGCACAACATCCATTTATACTTAAATTTGTCACACCTTTCACAATTTATCTAGGCTGCGATGAACAAATTCTATTTCTTAAAAGCATTTCAGGTGGCACAATTCATTTCGATTCTACAGGAGCAGTCATTAGAAAGCCATATCCCCGATCGAAAAAAATCTACATTACTTCCGGTATAGTCAACAGAGATCATAAATTAGTTCCCGTCTTACAAATGATTTCCAATTCTCATGACACAATCACATATCGCAATTTTTTGAGATTTTTCCGAGATTTATTGACCACTAACGGTTTGCGCTGGCCAGTTTTCGAGACTATTGTCATTGATTGGGCATGGGTAAATTCCAATGCTATCATGGCCGCATGGAATGACACTACTGTCCTAGGATATCTTACTTCAGCCTATAAACATTTGGAAAATGGTGAGCCTTTCAATGTAGTTAGGGTACAGTTCTGTTATGCACATTTCATGCATATGATTTCTGCTTTTTTACGTAAACATGATATCATGGAGAAAACTGTAGAACATTCGGTATTCATGGAAGCAATGTCAGTTCTAGTGCATTGCCCTTCAATAATCGAATTACGTTCACGTGTACGAGATGTAGCTACGGTGTTAATTGCGAAAAAGAAAAATGCGGAAGTTTCTGAAGCACTGACAGTACTCGCAGAATGTTGTCCTGGTATAAAGAACGAAGAAGTTGATAAATCATTGACAGATTACAAAGAGATCATAAATGTTGCCGAGACGACTTCAGAAAAACCTATTTATGCTTCGAGCCCCTGGTATAAAGAATTTCAATTATTATTCGCTGAATTGAAAACTAAACTGAATGGCAATATCGATGAAAATCACGATAACAATAATTTTCACTTAATGCAGTTTCAAAATATCTCCTCAACAATCTATTAGCTTATGCTCCAATGTGGTCAAGTTTGCTAATAGAATTGAGAGATAAAAAACATTTGTGTAACGCATCTGCTGAAAATTACATGAAAATTTTGAGAGTCGACTCTACAACATAAAATCCATTTGAAAGCGGGAAGAGCCATTGACGAAATTTCGAATGCAGTAAAGTCTATTTTAAAAGAAGTGTCATTGAAAAAGCCACAGCAGCACGTTAACCGTAGGAAGAGGAAGAAAATTGATGAACCTGATAACGTGAAATCCGAAGAATTATGGAGTAGGAACAACAAGCAGCCACGGAATTCGAGACGGCACGCGGATTTGACTCAAATAAAAAATATTCAGTCGGACAATGAACGAAAAACGTTGAAGTCATATCCTAATAGCTGCATCGCAACCGCAAAATATTACTTTACTCCAAGGGGTACAGCACGTCGATCTTGTTTCTTGGCGGCTGTTCCTACCCCAATGAAAAGCTCAAAATTTGATAATTGGCAATATCTTTACCATGACGATTATAGTCGTTTATATGTAAATCGACCAAGTTTATCAATGTGGCTTTTTGCACAAACAATTGATTATTGCTATAGAGCTTTTGAAAATCATGGAGAATTTAATAGCACTTACGTCTATTATGAGAGTGAAATCTGGGGACAATTTTTCAGGGACCATAACCCTAAGGCGATTAATGATGAGCTAATTGCACGCTGTGAATCCAAGTGGAATAGTTCTGACGGAATTTTTTTACCACTCAATATTAGTAACTCTCATTAGGTATGCTCCTTTGCAGACGTAAAGGATAAATGTACATATGTTCTTGATTCAGGCCCAAAGCCTCACACAACTCTTGAGTCTCCATTCCATTCTAGGTTTGTTGAAATATGGAATATAGTTTACCCTGATGAATCAGACGCACAATGGAAAGCAAGAATCTGTCAATATCCTACTCAACGTGATGATTACAATC